GAGTCTCTTCTGACATCCATTTTGACCTTTTCCTTCATTCTTGTTTTTTTTAATGCCTTTTAATTTCTTCCTGTCTGATGTTCTTGATGTCATCCCACAAATCTTGTGGTCTTCGGTCGTTAGTGTTTAATATATCAAATCCGTTCTTCAGATGATCTCTAAATTCAGGTGGAATATATTCAATGTCATATTTGGCTCTTGTGGACTTGTTTTCATTTTCTTCAGCCTCAATTTAGTTCATATGAGTAATTGATGGTCTGTTCCACAATCTGCCCCTGGCCTTATTTTGACTAATGATATGGAACTTTTCCATCACCTCTTTCAACAGATGTGGTCAATTTGATTTCTGTATATTCCATCTGGTGAGGTCCATGTGTATAGTCGTCTCTTATGCTGTCTAAAGAAGGTATTTGAAATGAACAAATCATTGATTTTGCAGAATTCTATCATGGCGATCTCCAGCATCATTTCTATCACTAAAGCCATATTTTCCACCTACTGATCCTTCCTCTTTGCTCCCAACCTTTGCATTCCAATTACCAGTAATGATCAGTACATCTTGAGTGCAATCTTCAGATTGAAGAAGTTGGTAGAATTCTTCTATTTTATCCATACTGGCTTTTGTGGTTGGTGCATACATTTGAATAATAGTGGTATTAACTGGGCTTCTCTGTAGGCACATGGATATTATCCTATCACAGACAGCGTTGTACCTCATGACTGATCTGGATATGTTCTTTTTGACAATGAATGCAACACCATTCCTCTTCAATTTGACATTTCCGGCATAGTAAACCATGTGGTCATCAGATTCAAAATGGTCAATACCAGTCTGTTTCAGCTCACTAATGCCTAAGATATCGATGTTTATGCGTTCCATTTCATTTTTGACAACTTCCAATTTTCCCAGATTCATACTTCGTAATTCCATGTTCGGATTTTCAATGGATTTTTACAGGTGTTTCTCTTCATTTTGAGTTGTGCCCCATCAGAAAATGAAGGTCCCATGGGCTTTTCTCCCACGGGCTTTATTCCATTCGCTTCATCATGGTCAACTCTACTTTTAGGAGGCAGCTCTTTCCCAGTTGCATTTTGAGTGCCTTCCAACCCGAGGGGCTCATTTTGTGGCACTATATCTGACAGTGTTTCTCTGTTATTCATAAGGTTTTCAGTGACTAAATATTCAGAAGTGATTCGTCACTTTTTCTTTCTAGTCTGTCTTCGTCTGGAAGCTCATCTGAAACCTGTCCACCATGGGTGACCCTGCTGGTGTTTAAAATACTGGTGGCATAGCTTTCCGAACACAGCAACTCACAAGCCACCACAGTACAGCAAACTGATTAAACTCATTTATTACCCAGGCAGAGTAGAACTCTCCCATTGGATTTTCAAGGCTGTGAATTTTTACGGAAGCAGCCTCTACATCTTTCAAACGTGTAATGGACTGGTGAGTTTGAACTGACTTTTGGGTTAGTAGCGGAGTGATTAACCATTGTGCCATCATGGCTTCTCCACGAACCTAAAAGAGCTTGGAATTCCAATCCACTGGCTCCTTGTGAGATTGCTTCATGAAATAGACCAATCAGGATGATACAATTTTACCACTTTTTGGTGCAATTGAAAAAAAAATTAGTTTTTTTTTTTTTTTTTTTTTACTTGAAACGTGTTATAATTAACAAACCACAGCACTAAAGTTGTATTAAAAATGAATGTGATTATCATCAATAAAAAATATTTTCTTCCCATCGTAGTCAGAATAATTGTTGGGTATTTACTCTCTGTTGTTAAGTGCCATTGAGTTGGTTCCGACTGATGGCGACCCTGTAGGGGGTTTCTGAGGAGTGACTGGTGAACTTGAACCACTGACCTTTCAGTTTAAACCCACCTTGCAGTCCAGCCCATTAACCCACAGCTCCACACCAGGACTCTCTGTTCTTGTTAGGTGCCATAGAGTTGGTACTGATTTATAGTGACGCTATGCACAACAGAACGAAACACTGCCTGGTTGTGGATCAACTTCACAATTGTTGCCACACTTGAGCCCATTGATGCTTCCACTTTGCCAGTACATCTTCCTGGGGGGTCTTCCTCTTTTTCTCTGATCCTCCACCTTACCAAACATAATATTCTTCTCCAGCGACTGTTCTCTCCTGACAATATGTCCGAAGTATGAGAGATGAAGTCTGGCCATCCTAGCCTCCAAGGAGCATTCTGGATGCACGTCTTCCAACACAGATCTGTTTGTCCTTTTTGGCAGCCCATGGTACTTTCAATATTCTTGTCCAACACCATAACTCAAATGCATCAATTCTTCTATGGTCTTCTTTATTCACTGTCCAGCTTTCACATGCATATGAGGTTATTGAAAATATCATGGCTTGGGTCAGGCGCACCTTAGACCTCAAGCTGACGTCTTTGCTTTTCAACAATTTAAAAAAAGGTCTCGTGTAGCAATTTGCCTAATGCTATATGTCGTTCGATTTCTTGACTGCTGCTTCCGTGAGTGTTGATGGTTGATCCAAGAAGAATGAAGTCCTTGACAACTTGAATCTTTTCTCCACTGATAAGTATGTTGTTTATTGGACTCTCTAGGAAGATGTTTATTATAGAACTCTATGAAAATAGGAACTAGCATGATTTTTCACTATACTGGGCATGTACATCATTACACATAACATAAACTCTCCAGGCACATGTTTTTTTTTTGCATAGACCTTGTTCTGGATTTATTCTAGTTAAAAGTAGTCCATGGTACTTTTAATATTCTCCAACATCATAACTCAAATGCATCAATTCTTCTATGGTCTTCCTTATTCACAATCCAACTTTCATATGCACATGAAGCTATTGAAAATACCATCAGACACACCTTAGTCTTCAAATTGACATCTTTGCTCTTGAACACATTAAAAAGGTCTTGTTCTGGGGACTCCTGGGCCCAGAGACAGGGACATGGCCACAGAGGACTAGAGGGGAGAGTGAAGTGTCCAGCTGATAGGAAGTGAGGGGAGATGCATAACACCCATACTTGCAGATAATACCCACTTGACCTGGCTTCAATGGCTGGATGATCAGAACTCGACTAGAAGAAAGAAGAGGAAAAAAAGAGTAATCCACTACAATTTGATGAACTTGACTTATACTTACGGATGTAGTAGCTCAAAAGAGGGAACATCTTTACAGCAAGGATCATTCCCACCTCTCGGTACACAGGGTTGACAGGAGTGGGCAACTTAGACACTGGCTATCCAAAATGGGGAGGGGGGGAGCAACAAAGGCAAGAAGTGACTGGCTTACAAGCTTTCAAGGGGGAACCTAGTTCCAGGGGGTCCAGGGGAAGGTAGAATCTCCACTGAGTGGTTTCCAATCTGCCTGGAAGTGGCTGATGAAAGGAGATGGGAATAAGACTCTTGTGGTTCAATAGTGAATAATTGCTATCAGGACTGACTGTGAGTTTTGGAAATGTAAAGGTAGACATTTTGTAACAAAAGGAGGGGAGTGGTTGATCTTGCAGTCTAAGAGCTGAGGTCCCTGGGACCATCAAGGGAGAAGAGCAGAGTGTGGGACCCTACCCAGAGAAGCAGTGATGCCAGAGATGGAGGCTGATGATGCATGGAGGGGATTGTAATCACTGCAATGAAATGAAATACGACAGGATGAATGTAAAGCTAATCTTCTCCCATGTAAACTATTACTTATTCACAAAAACAAGTTAAAGAAAAAAAAAAAAATCTTGTGCAGCAGATTTGCGTAATGTAATACATCTTTTCATTTCTTGACTGCTGCTTCTGTGAGCGATGGTGAAACCAAGCCAGATGAAGTGTTTTACAACCTCAATCTTTTCTCCATTTATCATCATGTTTATTAGTCCAGTGGTGAGGATTTTTGTTTTTTAACATTGAGATGCAACCCATACCAAAGGCTGTGGGTTTTGATATTCATCAGTAAGTATTTTCTTCTCTTCCCTTTCAGCAAGCAAGGTTGTATCATCTGCATATCACAGATTGTTAATGAGTTTTCCTCCAATCCTGATGCCACATTTTTCTTCATATAATTGAGCTTCTCAGATTATTTGCTCAGCATACAAATTGAATAAGTATGGTGAAAGAATGCAACCCTGGCACAGAAAGTGAGGGGAGATGCACAATTTCCTAATTTTAAACCATTCAGTATCACCTTGTTCTGTCTGAATGGCTGCCTCTTGGTCTATGTACAATTTCCTCATGAGCACAATTAAATGTTCCAGAATACTCATTTTCTGCAATGTGTCCATAGTTTGTCATACCCACACAGTCAAAAGCCTTTGCAAAGTCAATACAGCATAAGTAAACAAACATCTTTCTGGTATTCTCTGCTTTCAGCCAACATCCACCTGTTATCAGCATCCGAGAACCGTCTGACATCCTTGGGCTACTATGTGGTGAAAGAAGCACGAGTGGTGTTGGTGTTGGGCAGCTAACAAAGTCATCAATTCAAAGATGAGGAGTCTGTGTGCTCCCATAAAGATTTACAGTCTCAGAAATCCTGTATAGGTGAGATGGATAGGCAGAGTGGCAGCATCAATGGGCTCGAGCATAGCAACAATTGTGAGGTTGGCCCATGACTGGGTAGTGTTTCGTTCTGTTGTGCACCGGGTTTCTCTGAGTTGGTACCGACTCATGGCACCTAACAAGAACAGAGAGTCCTGGTGTGGTACTGTGGGTTAATGCGCTGGATTGCAAGGGTGGTTTAAACTGCAAGGTCAGTGGTTCAAGCTCACCAGTCACTCTTCAGAAACTCTATACAGGGTTGCTATGAGTTGAAACCAGCTCAGTGGCATTTAACAACAGAGAGTAAATACCCAACTATTATTCTAAATATTATGGGAAGAAAATATCTTTTTTGATGATAATCACATTTGTATTCAATACAACTTTAGTGGTGTGGTTTTTAAAGTAACACTTGAGTTTTGATCTTTTTTTTTTACTACTTTTCATACTGTTAAAAAAAAAATGAGGAATGGAATCAACTCGATAGCAGAAGATTTGGTTTTGTTGGATTGTGTGGTAATGGAAAACAATTTGGTGAAGAAACTAGGAGTAACTGAAGTGACTTTATATGAAATTTCTAGACCACACCAGAGGATTTGTGCTCAAGAGTATCAGCTGAAAGACCAGAAAAGACTCACCTCGCAGGCCAATGTCAACTGATTTCAGAAGGCATGACTTAGCCTATCATGTTAAGTAAGGGCTCAGTCATGACTGGGTGATGTAAGTCCTGAACATGGAGGCTCAGGGAGCTTCCCGGCTAGCAAAGGGAGGGTGATGCACTTCTTTGAGGCATGGGGGCTTCACACTGGGAACCCTCTTAGAATTGGCCCATGTATCTCTTATGACCATCCTAATTGGTATCCTTTTGACATAATTGAAAATCATAAGTATTATACGTTCTGTGAATTCTGTAACTTATTGCAGTAAATTATTGAACCCAAAAGAGCCTGCAAGTAAAAGTGAGGAAACCCAGGGAAGGCCCATGAAGGCCATGGCGTCCTGAAGGGATAATGGGAAGACCTCAAATCTGTGGCCAGCTTTTCAATAGTTTGGGGTGTTGTATGGATTTCCCAAATTTGTAGTTGGCAGCTGCCTATTTGACAGTCTGAACGAAGGTGTCCTTCAGCTTGTGGGCTCTGACCTAGCTTCTGGTGGCCCGTGACCGACAGCGCTGCAGGAGCAGCTAGTGCCAGAGAACACTGAGAAGTGGGAAAGTGGGGAATTGGTTACACCTTAAGGTTCTGTGGATGGAACTAATGTTTATTCTTGTCCACGGTGTTGGTGTCAGCCTAGTGAGATTCACAGAAATGTGTGGTTTGGGAAGAGAAAGAATATGTGGAAAAAGGATGAGAAACCTTTGACAGCTGGATGGGATAGAAATCACCGACGATATTCACACTAACTGGGCTGACATTCAGCTACTAGAGGGAAAAGGTACTAGTGGGATTTGGGGGTAATGGATATAACTCTTGACCTAGGACAATGCAAAGTAGCTAGAAATATACAACTTCATGTTGTCATCTGTAATCGCCTAATTGGAAAGGAAAGAGCATTGGCGGCAAATCCTGACACTGGGCCTCGCTAAGGTTTTGGCCCATCACAACTACAACCACTAGCCTTGGAGTCACCCACAAATGCCCCTGTGGCCTCTGTTCACCAAGAAAGTAGCCTGATGGGAGAAGGGCAGAACCAAGAAGCTACTGAAACCAGGGAGTATAGTGTGAAGAGTTATCTCATTTTGTGGTTCAGTAAGTATCATTGGTTTCTGAGGAATCTTTATGAAAATGGATTATGATTTGATTGATTGGTTGATTATGTGCCATGGAGTTGGTTCCGACTCATAGCGACCCTGTATAGGCTTTCTGAGGTTGTAAATCTTTATGGGAACAGAAAGCCTCATCTTTCTCCCACGGAACAGCTGGTAGTTTTGAACTGCTGACCATGAGGTTAGCAGTCCAACTCGTAACCACTACACTACCAGAGCTCTTTGAATGTATTATGAGAGTATCTAGTTTAGGGATAATGTATATGTCTGTAAGTGCTGCAGAATGGAGGAGTATGTCAGGTTTGTTGCTGGACACACACCTCACTATTGAACAGCCATCACAAATGGCTATACATAATGTAGGTGGTACATGAAGAGTATCTCAGAGAGGACAGCTAGCCTGGTAGACTGGATAAAACTCATTGTGAAGTTTGTTTACTCTGAGATGGGAGATTGCCCTTCTTCCTCTACAAATTGCCAAATGGAACACTAAATGAAATAGCTGATAAGCTGTACATCCAAGTTAGGCTAGACTGGCTTTATGGTGATTGGACTCTTCACCTGCTGGCCATGGTAAACTCTGTGATTAAGAAAGCTACTTTTGCATGGGCGCCCTGTGTAATCTTGCTTCTCCACAATTCAGCAAGTTATCAAGAAACCTTAACAGATTCGTAGTGCCAGCTTTCACTTATGGGTCCTATAGATGCTAAAAGAACAAGGTTAATTTTGCAAATAAAAGGAAAAAGAAAGAAGGAGACAAGGGACCCATCCCAGTAGAATGGAAATGTTTAGATGGTACTAAAAAATGGTCGTCAGTTAGTTTGTCATACTGTGGTGGCTTGTGTGCTGCTGGAAGCTATGCTGCTTGTATTTTAAATACCAGTAGAGTGACCTATGGTGGATAGATTTCAGTGGAGCGTCCAGATAAGACAGACGAGGAAGAAGAAGACGTGAACCACTTCTGAATGGTTAGCCCTGAAAACCTATGAACAGCATCAGAACACTGATATAAGCTGGAGGGTGAGCCCCTCAGGTTGGAAGTCACTCAAAAACAACTGGGGAAGAGCTGCCCCCTCAAAGTAGAGAGGACCTTAATGCTATGGATGGAACAAAGTTTTGGGGACCTTCATTTGCTGATGGAGCATAACTCAAAATGAGAAGAAACAGCTGAAAACATCCATTAATAATCAGAATAATAAGAGCAATGTATGAAGTATGGATCTAGGAAAATTGCTGCTATTATTGTTGTTAGGTGCCAACTCATAGTGACCCTATGCACAACAGAACAAAACACTGCCTGGTCCTGGGCTAACCTCACAGTTGTTGCCAGGCTTGACTCATTGATGCTGCCACTTTGCCAATCCATCTCTCTGGGGGTCTTCCTTTTTTTCTCTAAGCCCCCCCCCCCCCATCTTACCAAACATAATATCCCTTTCCACTGACTGGTATCTCCTGACAGTATGTTTGAAGTATGAGACAAAGTCTGGCCATCCTGGCTTCCAAGGAGCACTCTTGCTGTACTTCTTCCAACACAGATTTGTTTGTTCTTTTGGCAGCTTATGGCACTTTCGATATTCTCCATAACACCATAACTCAAAAGCATCAATTCTTCTACAGTCTTACTTATTACTGTCCAACTTTCGCTTGCATATGAGGTTACTGATACCATGGCTTGGGTCAGGCACACCTTAGTCCTCAAGCTGACATCTTTGCTCTTCAACATTTTCAAAAGGTCTTGTGCAGCAGATTTGTCTAATGCAATATGTTGTTTGATTTCTTGGTTGCTGCTTCCATGAGTGTTGATGGTTGATCCAAGAAAAATGAAATGACAATTTCAATCTTTTCTCCATTGATAAAAATGTTGTTTATTGGTCCAGTGATGAGGATTTTTGTTTTCTTTACATTGAGGTGCAATCCATACTGAAGGCTATAGTCTGATCTTTCTTCATCAGTAAGTTTTTTAAGTTCTCTTCACTTTCAGCAAGCAAGGTTGTGTAATCTGCATATCGCAGGTTGTTAATGGGTCTTCCTCCAATCCTGATGCCACGTTTTTCTTCATATGACCCAGCTTCTTGGATTATTTGCTCAGCATACAGGTTGAATATGTATGGTGAAAGAATACAACCCTGTCACACATCTTTCCCAATTTTAAACGATTCAGTGTCCCCATGTTCTGTTCGAACAACTGCCTCTTGGTCTATATGCAGGTTCCTCATGAGCACAATCCTTCTTTCTTGTCTTCTTAATGACTTTTTGCTTTCTTCATGTATGGTATTCTTGATGTCATCCCACTACTCATCTGGTCTTCAGGCTTTAGTGTTTAATGTATCAAATCTGTTCTTCAGATGATCTCTAAATGCAGGTGGGATATATTCAAGGCCATACTTTGGCTCTTGTGGACTTGTTTTCATTCTCTTCATCTTCAGTCTGAATTTGCATATGAGCAATTGATGGTCTATTCCACAATCTGCCCCTGGCCTTATTTTAGCTAATGATATGGAGCTTTTCCACTTTCTCTTTCCACAGATGTAGCCAATATGATTTCTGTGTATTCCACCTTGTGAGATCCATATGTATAGTTGTCTCTTATGCTATTTAAAAAAGGTATCTGAAATGAACAAATCATTGCTTTTGCAGAATTCTGAGGTTGGCCCAGGACTGGGCAGCGTTTTGTTCTGTTGTGCACAGGGTCGCTATGAGTCGGTACCGACTTGATGGCACCTAACAACAAAACATCATGCAATCTCCAGGATCATTTCTATTACCAAAGCCATATTTTCCAACTACTGATCCTTTTCTTTGTTTCCAACCTTTGCATTCCAATCACCAGTGATTATCAGTATATTCTTGATATAGAAAAATTGAAATTTGTCAAAAATGAAATGGAACACAAAGATCACTATCCTAGACATAAGTGAGCTGAAATGGACTGATATTGGCCATTTTGAATTGCACAGTAGTATGACTTACAGTGCTAGGAATGACAAATTGTAAAGGAATGCCGCTGCATTCTTCAAAAATAGTATTTCAAGATCTAAGATAGCATAATATCCATATAGCTACAAAGAAGACCAGTTAACACCACTATTATTCAAATTTACACACCAACAACTAAAGCCAAAGATGATGAAATTGACAAATTATGCTAACTTCTATGGTCTGATATTGATCAAACATGCAATTAAGATGCAATGATAATTACTAGTGATGAATGCTAAAGGGGGAAATAAAGAGGAAGGATCAGTATTTGGAAAATATGGCCTCGGTGATATCTCATGATAGAATTTTGAAAGATCAGCAATTTATTCATTGCAAATACCCTTCTTCAACAGCATAAATGGTGACTATATATGTGAACCTCACCAGATGGAATACACAGGAATAAAATTGACTGCATCTGTGGGAAAAGATGATTGAAAAGCTCAGTATCATCAGCTAAAACAGAACCAGGACATCACTGTGGAACACACTATTTACCAATTGCTCATATGCAAATCCATACTGAAGCTAAAGAAAGTTAAAATAAGATTCAGGAAAGCCAACATATGAACTTGAACACATCCCACTTGAATTTAGAGACCATCTCAAGGACATTATTTGATGCATTAGACACTACAGATTGAGAACAAAAGGGATTGTGTGATGACATCAAGATCATCCTACATGAAGAATGCAAACTGTCATTATAAAGAGAGGAAAGAAAAAAAAGGCCAAAATAGTTGTCAGAAGCAACTCTGAAACTTGCTCTTGAGTGTAGGGAAGTTAACGTGTATGGAAGAAATGATGAAGGAAAAGAGTTGACCAGAAAATTTCAAAGGGTAACTTGAGAAGACAAAGTCAAGTATTATATTGAAATGTGCCAGAATCCTGGAATTAGAACACCAAAAGGGAAGATCATGTGCTGCATTTCTCAAGCTGAAAGAACTGAAGAAGAAAAAAAAATCAAACTTTGACTTGAAGCACTGAAGGATTCTATGGGGAAAATGTTGAATGATTGAAGAAGCATCAGAAACATCCGAAGATGGAAGGAATACAAAGAGTCACTGTACCAATCAATGTTTAACCATTTCAACAGGTAGCATATGATCAAGAACTGATGATATTGAAGGAAGAAATCCAAGCTACACTGGAGGCATTGTCAAAAGACAAGTCTCCAGGAATTGATGGAATACAGATTGAAGTGTTTCAGCAATCTTATACATCACTGGAAGCACTCACTCATCTATGCCAAGAAACAGAAGATAGCTATCAGGTCAGCTGATTCTCCAATTTCAAAGAAAGGTGGCCCAACAGAATGTGGAAACCAACAAATAAAATCCCTAATATCACATACAAGAAAAATTTTGAAGAAAATTTAAAAATGATTGCAGCAGCACATCAACAAGGACCTGCCAGAAATTCAAATCAGATTCAGAAGAGGATAGAGGACTAGGAATATCTTTGCTGACTTCAGATGGATCTTGGCTGAAAGTAGAGGATACCAGAAAGATGTTTACTTGTGCTTTTTGGACTATGCAAAGATATTTAACTGTGCAGATAACAAACTATTGATAATGTAAAGAATAGGTATTCCAGAAGACTTAATTGTGCTCAGGAGGAACCTGTACATAGATCAAGAGGTAGGCATCTTTATGGGAGCAGACAGTCTTGTTTTTCTCTCATGGAACGTCTGGTGGGTTTGAACAACGGAAGACCTTGCAGTTAGCATACTAATGTCCAACTCCTAATACCACCAGGGCTCCTTAATCCAAACCAGAGTCCCCCCTAAATGTTTCTTTTGCCTCTTGAGGATAAATTTCTTTATTAATTTAAATCCAGGCTTGTCAAGAAAGCTTTGGTGTTGTAAATTATTAGATATGCCTGAGTGTTTAAAAAAAAAAAAAAAAGAGAGAGAGAGAGAGCTAAAGTGAATAGAGAGAAATACTGTTATTTAATGGTATATTGTTGTTATTAGGGGCCATCAAGTTGGTACTGACCCATAGCGACCTTATGCACAGCAGAACGAAACACTGCCTGGTCCTGGGCCAACCTCACAACTGTTGCCATGCTTGAGTCCATCGATGCTGCCACTTGGCCAATCCATCTCGTTGGGGGGTCTTCCTCTTTTTCCCTGAACCTCCATCTTAGCAAACATGATATCCTTCTCCAGTGACTGGTCCCTCCTGACAATATGTCCCAAGTACGAGAGATGACATTTGGCAATCTTGGCCTCCAAGGAGCACTCTGGCTGCACTTCTTCCAACACAGATCTATTGGTTCTTTTGGCAGCCCATGACACTTTCAACATTCTCCTCCAACACCATAACTCAAAAGCATCAATTCTTCTACGGTCTTCCTTATTCACTGTCCAGCTTTCACATGCAGAGGAGGTTATTGAAAATACCATGGCTGGGTCAGGCACACCTTAGTCCTCAAGCTGACATCTTTGCTCTTCAACACTTTAAAAAGGTCTTGTGCAGCAGATTTGCTGAATGCAATATGATGTCGTTTGATTTCTTGACTGCTGCTTCCATGAGTGTTGATAGTTGATCCAAGAAGAATGAAGTCCTTGACAACTTCAATCTTTTCTCCATTGATAAGAATGTTGTTTATTGGTCCAGTGGTGAGGATTTTTGTTTTCTTTACATTGAGATGTAATCCATACTGAAGGCTGTGGTCTTTGATCTTCATCAGTAAATGTTTTGGTACATGGAGGGGATTATAATCATTGTAATGAAACAAGGTGTATGATTTTTTTAATGTAAAACTGATGATCTGCCTTGTAAACTTTCTCTCAATTCATAATAAAAACCTCAAAAAAGAAAAGAAAAGAAAGCTGAAGGAGTGTTCCAAGAGTTGGAAGATGCAGTCAAGGAGCAAAGGACCTCTGAGGATGCAGACCTCTGTCCATATGTGCAGTGGCATTAGAGGCTGACATTTTGATTAGAGACTGAGCTCCTAGGCAGAGTTTCCTGCAGTCAAACATGGAACAGGAAGTTTTATAAGCCGAGGAGTCTCCCATCTCTCCATAAACGGTTTCAAGTCTCTGACCATACTTGTTACAGTGTTGATTATAGGTAGATTTCACCTGGAGGACTAAGGTGTGCCTGACCCAAGCCGTGGTATTTTCAGTAACCTCATCATATGCATGTGAAAGCTGGACAGTGAATAAGGAAGACCATAGAAGAATTGATGCTTTTGAGTTATGGTGTTGGAGGAGCATGTTGAACGTGCCATGGGCTGCCAAAAGAACCAATAGATCTGTGTTGGAAGAAGTGCAGCCAGAGTGCTCCTAGGAGGCCAGGATAGCCAAGCTTCATCTCTCATACTTCATACATATCATCAGGAGGAGCAGTCGCTGGAGAAGGGTATCATGTTTGGTAAAGTGGAGGGTCAGAGAAAAGGAGGAAGACCCCCCAGAGAGATGGATTGGCAAAGTGGCAGCATCGATGGGCTCAAGTGTGGTAACAATTGTGAGGATGGCCCAGCACTGGGCAGTGTTTTGTTCTGTTTTGCATAGGGTCTCTGTGAGTCAGTACCAACTTGATGGCACCTAACAACAACAACATAGGTAGATTCAAGATGATCTTGAGCCCTTCCAGTTTCTCAATTGATTATTCCCCAAAAGTTCTTTTGGATCCAGAAAGCCATGGGAAAGAGTAGTAAAAAAAAAAAAAAAAAAAAGCTGAGCTTGGATTTCTCTTCCATCTTGGGGGTAGGTATGCAACTGAAGTTTAATTTCATTTGCAAAAAGTTGTCATGTTTCTTGAACCTAAGGGTAATGGAGCTTAGTTCTACCTTTGATTCTCTCTATTTACTTCCTTCATGTTGCCCCCCAAGCTTTGGATTGTTGTTAAGTGCCATGGAGTGGGTTCCGGCACGTAGCAACCCTGTCTAGGGTTTTGAGAAGTGGCTGGTGAATGTGAACCCCTGACCTTGTGTTCAAACTGATCTTGTGGTCCAGTTCTTTATCCCACAGCACCACACCTCATTAATATCCCACCTGGTCAATTAGGCTGCAAGAAAATCATGTTCAAAAGCCACCTTTACTACCCACCCTTGTGTAGTAAATAAAAACAGTGCCCCCAGAGGTCATCATGGGGTGGCAGGACCAGTTGGCCTCAGTTGGAATCAAGATCTGGACTTACAAATCCTAGCCACCAGTTCCCATTGCAAGATTCTCCATTCCCAGTGTTGGAGTATGTGAGTAAAGTCAATGAACTTCCATACATTCCAAAGAAAAACCTGTCCGTGACCTACTTTTGGGTGGTAACCTCTCAGCCTTTAAAATGTTCTGCCTAGTAAGTGACTTTACATACCTGGAACCTTGTTCAACACCAGATAGTTTATGCTAACAATATGACTTATTATGAACAACGGTTGTCACCTGGGACCATGGGCCACACTGTACCACTCTGACCTCTGAAAGGCTTACTGACTGAATCACTTAGGTCAGTCACATGGATGCTCCATAAATCCTGGGTGGCAATAATTTGGTTTGCCACCCATCATTGCTGAATCGGGTATGGTCCATGACCACTGGGAGAGGACACCTGGGCTTCTGAACTCCGCCCTACATACCTTTGGTCTTCTCTGATTTTAATCTGTGTCTGTTCCACAGATTTACTGTTACCACAGTAAACCTTAATTGTGACCGTAACAGTTTTTCTGAGTTCTGCTGTGTCCTTAGCAAATCATCAAATCTCAGGTTTGTCTTAAGGATTCCCAACACAAGAGGTGTGAGTACTATTTTATTGTGAGACACGGTGGTCCTTCTTTACCCTGAACTCAGATTACTCTTTGAGAAAATAAGGAAAATAAGCCCCTTTTTGTGAACTGGAAGCTTCTCTTCTCCCAGTTCCAGGGAAGCATTTCATCCTCTTCCTTGCTCCCTGCTCTCCCTCAAATCCTCAATGTACTCAAAAGCAAAGGGAGACCTTGGGCATTTTTCATTCTTGCTCCTTTTATCTTTTCCCCCAAACAAGCTGTGCAGAACCTGTGTGTTCAGTGCGTGGTTCCCGACCGTGGCTAGTCCCGGATGTCCCTCCCCAGACCCCTCCCTGCTCTCTGGGCGGCAGGGCTGGGGACACTTCACATGGCACTCTCATTTCCTCCGCGCCCCCTGGACACCCCCTTCTCTTGCAGGGATTTGTAGGGCTTTCCCAGGCTGGGGAGGGTGAGCTCTGCTTCCTGAAGCTCCAGCTCCCGCTGAGACAGGTGTTCAATAACAGCTGCTCCGATGGAGTCCCCTAGGACATTGGTCATAGTGCGAAGCCGGTCACTGGTGGAAGAGAAGAGAAGCTGCCATTACACAGGGCTTGAGTAGCTCCAGCAAGTGGGTTGGTGGGTGGGTGGGAACTCCCTGTGCCTAAATTCCAGCCCATTTCATAACCAGAGGACCTTGAGCAGGCTCCTCCCCATCTTTTACGTTCCTCCTCTAACATGTGAAACTTAGACTGGCTCTGAGATGTTCACACCTGTTCTTAGCAATACAATTGAAAAGGAATGTTATGTGGACATCTGATGCAGAAAATTTGGGATTATAAACGGAAAGGCATAAGAGACTCAGGAAGGAAAGCATCATGAATGATGGTGTTGACATGGACATGCTGGAAACTGTCCAAATGTTCTGCCCAGGTGGGACTCAGGTCCAGTTAACCACCGCTAGGTGGGAATTCAAGTGCTACTTTTCCAGAAGAATCAAGAATTCAGCTTTTTGTTACGTCTCTTGTTTTTAAGTGTTGGGAATTCTTAAAAACACTTGCATGCCAGACCTGTCCTATGGGTTACTTTTTATGACATTTACATTTAAAAAGTGAAAGGGGAGCTCTGTTGGCTGGCAGAGAAAGCACCCACCACTTGCTCCTTCTCATCCTGCTTTCCACAGATAATTCTATGGAATTTGGGACCCAGAGGACATAGCTTAGAGAGCACCCTCGTAAGCCCCCTTTCACTCTAAAATTCCAAAGCTTTATGTCTTTGATGAGGACCCACACATTGGGCATCCTTGAGGGAAAAGTGGAGCTGATGAGTGAGGAGAGACACACCAGGGTCTAGCGTGAAGAACACTTACAGGAACCAGTCTACGGCTATGATAAGAGTGATGTCTTCTGTGGGCAGGCCGACTGATGTGAGCACAATCACCATAGTAACCAGACCAGCCTGTGGGATGCCAGCAGCCCCAACACTGGCTGCTGTTGCTGTGATACTATAAGAGGAGACAGAACACAGGAGTCAGGGGAAGCAGGGAGGAAGAGATGAAGATGAGAGTGTGAGAAAGAATCAAACAGGGAAGGGATCAGTCCTACTAAATTCCCCCAAAGCAAACCCAAACCAACTTTAATTAAATGTCAGTGCAGGTGGACCCTCTTTTCCTTTGCTGGGGTGTGGTTGTAAGCACATTCAGAGATATGTTTAAATAACTCAAGGTGGGTGGTGGTTGTGTGGCGTGGAGTCAGTTCCAACTTATATAGACCTTGTATAGGGTTTCTGAGGTTGAAAATCTTTACAGGAGCAGAAAGCCTGGTAGACTCAAGCTGCCAACACTGCAATTAGCAGCCCAACTTGTAACCCATTAATGCTACCAGAGATCTTTTGAAACATGAATAGATATTTATCAGTTGTCTCTGGGAGGTTGGAGATGACAGAAGCAGCACCTGTGGCCCAGGAGAATGAGCCCTCCATATGCAAATCAGCTACTAGAAGATTGGTTAGTACAGACCAAGTACAGCTGATGGCAATGGAACTCTGAAAAGTGGACCAAGTTTAGAGCCCAAAGGAGAAATTGTCTAGGGTGCTGAGAGAATGAAATAATAAGGATTTTAGAAAATGAAAAGGCAGAACACATGGGGGGACATGATAAAGATGCTGGCCACCATCAAGTAGAGGGTCAGACTGGATCAGGGGCAGACTAGATTTTATCTCTTGAATCAACTCTGGTTACCTGGCATGTTGTGGTTAAGAAGGATTCTAAATATACTGCGATTACAGGAAAACACATGACCTGTGGTTGCTGTCACTCTTCCTTGTAGCCTCTGAAGCACTTTCCTAGAGTCTATAATTGTCAACACTGGAGTCACTCAGGACAGAGTTCAGATTGATAACTGTATCAGAATAGGAACTGAGCAAACCCCATTTCAATAGACCTGTCCACTAGCCTACCACTCGTCTGTGGTTTGTCATACTGTAGTGGCTTGCGTGTTGCTGTGATGCTGGAAGCTATGCCATCGGTATTATGAACACCAGCAGGGTCACCCATGGTAGACAGGTTTCACTAGAGCTTCCAGACTAAGACAGAATAGCAAGAAAGAGAGACTGACTACTTCTGAACAGTTAGCCAAAGAAAGCCTTATGAACAGCAGTGGAACATTGTCAGATATAGTATTAGAAGATGAAAACATTATGAACAGCACCAGAATACAGTCAGATATACTGCCATAAATTTACCACCTCAGGTTGGAAGGTACTCAAAATATGACTGGGGAAGAGCTGCCTCCTTAAAGTAGAGTTGACCGTAGTGGCACAAATGGAGTAAAGCTTTCGGGATCCTTCATTTGCTGATGGCACACAACTAAAAATGAGGCGAACAGCTGTAAACATCAATAATCAGGACATGGAATGTAAGAAGTATGAATCTAGGAGAATTGGAAGTTGTCAAAAATTAAAGGAAACAAATAAAAATTGATATCCTCTGCATTAGTAGTGGAAATGGACTGGGATTGGCCATTTGGACTCAAGTAATCCTATATGGTTTACTATTCTGGGAAAAACAAATTGAAGAGGAATGGCATCACACTCATCATCAAATGGAACATTTCAAAATCTACCTTGAAGTACAATGCTGTCTATAATAGGATAATATCCATACACCTACAAGGGAGACCATTTAATACCATTATTACTAACATTTACACACACCAACCACTAAAGCCAGTGATGATGAAATTGAAGAGTTCTACCAACTTCTAAAGTCTTTTAACTTATCAAATATGTAATCAAGATATGTTGATAATTACTAGTGATTAGAAACCAGTAAGGGTCACTAGTTGTAAAATATGGTCTTGGTGAGAGAAATGATGCTGGGGAATGCATGATAGAATTTTTCAAGACCCATGACTTCTTTAGTGCCAATACCTTTTTAAAACAACATAAAAGGCAGCTATACATATGGACCTCACCAAATGGAATGGGAGTATGGTGGCTCCATACAATAAGCACTGGACTGTGAATGAAAAGGTTTGTGCCTCGAGCCTGCGAGCAGCTCCATGGGAGAAAGATGAGGCTTTCTGCTCCGGAGAAGATTTAAAGTGTTGGAAACCATATACTGAGTCAGAGCTGACTCTACAGCATGTGACAACAACAATACACATGGACCTCATCAGATGGAATACACAGAAATCAAATTGACTACATCTGTGGAAAAGATGGTGGAAAAACTCCATTTCATAAGCCAAAACAAGGCCGGGGCAGACTGTGGAACAGACCATCAACTAACTGTTCATATACAAGTTCAGGCTGAAGCCGAAGAAAAGGAAAACAAGTCCAAAAGATCCAAAATATGACCCTGAACATATCTCACCTGAATTTAGAGATAATCTGAAGAACAGATTTGATGCATTAGACACTAAAGATCAAAAACGAGAAGAGTTGTGGGATGACATCAAGAACATTATACAGGAAGAAAACAAAAAGTCATTAACAAGGAAAGAAAGAAAGAAAAGACCAAAATGGATGTCAGAAGAGACATTGAAACTTGCTCTCCAGTGCAGAGATGCTAAAGCAAATGGAAAAAATTAGGAGGTAAAAGAGCGGAACAGAAATTTTCAAAGGTCAGCTTGAGAAGACAAAGTCTTCTACAGTGAAATGTGCAAAGATCTGGTGTCAGAAAGCCAAAAGAGAAGAACACGCTCAGTATTTCTCAAGCTGAGGGAACTGAAGAAAAACTTCAGGCCTCGACTTGCGGTATTGAAGGATTCTATGGGCAGAAAGCATCAAAAAAAGATGGAAGGAATACACAAAGTCATTGTACCAAAAAAAAAAAAAAATGGTCTAGCCACAGAGGGCTAGAGTAGAGAGTGAAGTGTCCAGATGACATGAAGTGAGGGGAGATACACAGGAATACCCATACTTGCAGATAGTACCCATCTGACCTAGCTTCAATGGCTGGATGATCAGAATTCAACTAGAGGAAGAAAGAGGAAAACAAGAGTAATCCGCAACAATTTGTTGAACTTGACCTATGCTCATGGATGTAGTAGCTTAAAAGACGGAACAAATATTCACAGCAAGGATCATTCTCACCCTCTCTATACACAGGGTTGATAGGGATGGGCAACTTAGACATTGGCTACCTAAAATGGGTGGCTATAAAGGCACGAAGTGACTGACTTACAAGTTTTAAAGAGGGAAGTCAGTTTCAGAGGGTGCAGGGAAGGTAGAATCTCCACTGAGTGATTTTCAACCTGTCTAGATGGGGCTGGTGAAAGGAGATGGGGATAAGACTCTTGTGGTTCAATAGTGAATTATTGTTATCAGGACTGATTGCGATTGTTCCAAATGTAAACATAGATGTTTTGTAACAAAAGGAGAGGAGTGGTTGATTTTGCAGTCCAGGAGCAGAGGCCCCTGGGACCATCAAGGGAGAAAAGCGGAGTGTGGGACCCTATCCAGAGAAGCAGCGATGCCAGAGATGGAGGCAGAGACGATGATGTGGAGAGATGGAGTGGCTGGGAACTCTGGACTCAAGGAGGGAGAGGGGCTGTGGGCTGGCGGCCAGGGGGCAGGCTTTCAGGGTATGCCCTTTGGTTGTTTGAATGGTTATATATTCCTGAGTGCTTTAGTGTACATCCAAAAAACAAAAACAAGGAATAGAAGCAAATGCTATTGAATGATGATGCATGGAGGGGGACTGTAGTCATTGCAATGAAAGGAAATGCAATAGGATGAATGTAAAGCTGATGTTCTCCCATATAAATGATCACTCAGTTCACAATAAAAACTTAAAAAAAAAAAAAAAGAAATGGTCGATGTTCAACCATTTCAAGAGGTACTATATGATCAAGACCCAATGATGCTGAAGAAAGAAGTCCAATGTGCATTGAAGGCATTGGCAAAGAGCAAGGCTCTGGGAATTGACGGAAAACTAATTGAAATCTTTCAACAAAACCATACAGCACTGGAGGCAATCACTCATCTATGCCAAGAAATCTGGAAGATAACTATCTGGCCAACTGACTGGAAGAGATCCATATTTGTGCCCATACCAAAGAGGTGACACAACATATGTGGATATCATCAGACAATATCATTAATATCACATGCAAGTAAAATTTTGCTAACGATAATTCAAAAATGGCTGCAACCATAAATTGAGAGAGAACTTCCAGAGTTCAAGCCAGATTCAAAAGAGGATGTGGAATGAGGGATATCATTGCTGACATCAGATGAATCTTGACTTAAAACAAAGAATACCAGAAAGATGTTCACCTGTGCTTTACTGACTATGCAAAGGCTTTTGATTGTGTGGATCATGACAAGTTATGGATAACATTGTAGCGAATGAGAATTCTTGAACACTTAATTGTGCTCATGAGGAACCTGTACATCAACCAAGAGGCAGTTGTTTGAACAGAAAAAGAAAACACTGAATGGTCTAAAATTAGGAAAGGTGGGCGACAGGGTTGTATTTTTTCACCATACTTACTCAATCTGTATGCTGAACAAATAATTTGAGAAGCTTAATTTATATGAAGGAAAACGTGACATCAGGATTGGAGGAAGACTCATTAACAACCTGCAATATGTAGATGATACAACCTTGCCTACTGAGAGTGAAGAGGACTTGAAATACTTACGGATAAAGATCAAAGACCACAGCCTTCGGTATGGCTTGCACCTCAATGTAAAGAAAACAAAATTCCTCACAACGGGACCAATAAACAACATCAAGACAAATGGAGAAAAGATTGAAGTTGACCAATACTTCCTTTTTGCTCTTGTTGTTGTTGTTGTCAGGTGCCATCGAGTCGGAACCGACTCATAGCGACTCCATGCACAGCAGAACAAAACAATGTTCGATCCTGGGCCAACCTCACCACCGCTGCCACCCCCGAGTCCATCAATGATGCCACCTGGCCGATCCATCTCGTTGGAGGTCTTCCTCTTTTTCTCTGACCCTCCACCCTACCCAGCATGACATCCTTCTCCAACGATTGTTTCCTCCGGACTACATGTCCAAAGTAGGAGAGACGAAGCTTAGCCATCCTGGCCTCCAAGGAGCACTCTGGCTGCACTTCTTCCAAAACAGATCTATTGGTTCTTTTGGCAGTCCATGGCACTTTTAGTATTCTCCTCCAACACCACAACTCAAAGGCATCAATTCTTCTACGATCCTCTTTATTCACTGTCCAGCTTTCGCATCCATATGAGGCTATTGAAAACACAATGGCCTGGGTCAGGCGCACCCTAGTCCTCAAGCTGACATCTCTGCTCTTCAATACTTTAAAAAGTTCCTGTGCAGCAGATTTGCCCAGTGCAATACGTCGTCCGATCTCTTGACTGCTACTTCCGCGAGTGTTGATAGTTGATCCAAGAAGAATGAAGTCCTTGACAACTTCAATCCTTTCTCCATTGATAAGAATGTTGTTTATTGGTCCAGTGGTGAGGATTTTTGTTTTCTTGACATTGAGATGCAATCCATATCGAAGGCTGTGCTCTTTAATCTTCATAAGTAAATATTTCAAGTCCTCTTCACTTTCAGCGATCAAGGTTGTATCATCTGCATATCGCAGGTTGTTAATGAGTCTTCCTCCAATCCTGATGCCACGTTTTTCTTCATAGAACCCAGCTTCTCGTATTATTTGCTCAGCATACAGGTTGAACAAGTATGGTGAAAGAATACAACCCTGTCTCACACCTTTCCCAATTTTAAAACTTTCAGTGTTCCCATGTTCTGTTCGAACAACTGCTTCTTGGTCTAGGTACAGATTTCTTAGAAGTACAGTTAAGTGTTCTGGAGAATACTCTTTTTGCTCTTATCAACCATCAATACTCATAGAAGCAGCAGTTAAGAAATCCAACAACAAATCCGCTGCAAAGACCTCTTTAAAGTGTTCAAGAGCAAAGATGTCAGTTTGAGGACTGAGGCGCACCTCACCCAACCCATGGTATTTTCTATAACCTTATATGCATGCAAAAAGTTGGATGATGAATAAGGAATACCATAACAGAATTGATGCATTTGAGTTTGTGGTATTGGAAGAGAATGTTGAGAGTACCAAAGACTGCCAAAAGAACAAACCAATCTGTAAGTACAGCCAGAAGGCTCCTTGGAAGCCAGGATGGCCAAACTTCATCTCTCATACTTTGGACCTGTTACCAGGAGAGACCAGTCCCTGAAGATGGATATCATGTCTGGTAAAGTGGAGGGTCAGAGAGAAAGAGGAAGACCCCCAATGAGATGGACTGGCACAGTGGCAGCAGCAATGGGCTCAAGTGTAGCAATGATTGTGAGGCTGGCCCAGGACCGGGCAGTGTTTTGTTCTGTTGTGCATAGGGTAGCTATGAGTTAGAACCAACTCAATGGCACCTAACAACAACCCCAAATTTTTTTCAATAGTATTTTTTTCAAGACCAGTGACAGTGCATTGTACATTACAGAAAGCCATTCAGAGAGCTCATGCTTGTAAACTTTTATACAGTGTCTAGCACCCAGCGAGTGCTTTATAAATGTTGGCTGTCATCATTAACAACAGCACAGTCATCATCGCTGCCAGCACCACCACCACCATCCTGACTATTGGTATCTTTTTTCTTCTGTAGACTGGATCATTTCTAAGGTCAGAAACCATGTCTTATTTTTCCCTGCATCACTGGGTCTCTCCACAGAGCCTAGTGTAAAGAAATCTTCCAACATATGCTGTTTTTAAAAAGTGTTTGCTGTTAAGTTTAAACTCTTGGCACAAGAATCCTCCCCAGATTCTCTCTACCCGCTTTTCCAGCCTCATCTTCTATCCCCCACATTCCCTCTAAGCTCCAGTCTTGATGAGCCACTCTTGACTTTTAAGGTTATTGTTGTTGTTAAGTACCGTGGAGTTGGTTCCAACTCATAGTGACCCTGCAAAGTGTTTCTGAGGCTGCAAATCTTTACAGGAGCAGAAAGCCTCATCTTTCTCCTGAGGAACAGCTGATAGTTTCGAACTGCCGACCTTAAGGTTAGCAGCCCAATTCGTAACCACTATGCTACCACAGCTCCTTGACTTTTAAGGTAGTGATTCTCAGACTTGAGCATGTGTAAGAATCCCTTCATGGGTTGGTTTAAAAACAATTGACTGAGCTCCATCCCAGAGTTTCTGTTTCAGTTAGATTGCAGTCTAATTGTTGTTAAGTGCCATCAAGTTGCTTCAGATTCATAGTGAGTTTGTGTAGGGTTTTCAAGGAGCGGTTGGTGGGTTTGAACCACTGACCTTTCAGTTCAGTGCTTATCTCACAGCATCACACCAGGACTGTATCCCAGGTGATGCTCCTGCGGCTGGTCCAGGGACTACACTTTGAGAACCAATGCTCTAAGGTGCTAAAATCCATTTACCTGCTCCCTCCTTTTCATCTGGCCAGCTCCTATTCCTCCTTCCAGATTCAGTCCAGGTGTTAACTATCCATTAAGATTTCACTCACTGTCTACTCTTCACCACTAGTTTAGATGCGTGTGGTTTCCCCAACACAGCACTTTCCACACTGGGTGGGAATTAGAAGTTCACTCACTGACTGCCCTACCAGACTGTGAACTCCTTCTAGGCAGTGTCTGTACCTTTCATATCTTTGGATCCTCCAAATATCAAGCACAGTGGCGATCACATAGCATCAAATGAATATTGGAGCAAGAAAGGAGAAACAAAGGCAGCCATCCACTGACAAAGGTACTGCAAATCTTCCCAAATTAGTTTTGTTCAAGGAAATGAAGACCTAAGGTAAGAAACTGCCTCTGGGCCTCTATCAGCAGAGTCGTCAAGCTTGGTCTTCTCCCGCCTCTGAAAAACACTTCACAGAAGCCGAACTTGGGAGAGTTGTGTCCTGCATGCCTCGTACAGATTTATCCAATTCATGCAGGGATCTGAGCATTATCACCCTTCCATCCCACTTCCTTACACCAGAGCTTTTTCTATCCGCATATACTGTTTCTAAAAAGGAAATGGTTTGCCTCTACCTCTTTGAGATGCTTGCAGACAGATCTCATGGTTGGAGTGCTCCCCATGTTGTAGTAGTCCTCCTCACTATTATAATAGTCCCTCCTCCTTTCCTCTTGCTCTTTCTAAATCCTCTTTAATCAGAGTCTGGATTTGTATTTTCTTTGACCCAGACAATCCCATAGAAGAATGGAACTTACATTCTAGGGAGGGGAGGCAGACAGCAAAAAAGTTCACCAATTAAAGATACAGACTAATGCAGAGGGTCAGTATCTGATATATAGGAGGATATGAGTCCTGACTGGTGTGGTGCTGTGGGTCAATGCACTGGACTGCAACATTGGATTGAACCTCAAGGTCGGCAGATTAAGTACACCAGCGGCTCCTTGGAAACCCTATACAGGGTCGCTATGGATCAGAACCGACTCGATGGCACTTAACAACAACAACTGAGTCTAAGAACAGGCATGCAATTTTAAATGGGCTATTTGGGGCATGCTTCTCTGTATAGGAGGCATTTGGGAAAGACCTGAAGGAGATGGCAATGTTTGCTGTTGTTTATATAATGACTACAGTGGCATTCCTAGATGATGGGGTTCAAGCATCCCTTTTACATGGGGTCCCAGAACACCTTGGAGAAAGGGATCTTCCACCATAGTACATGAGAGAACAGACTAGAGAAACCTGCCAGCTCCTGGTAGCCTCAAAGTCATACCTTTAGCCTCATCCAACATCCATTACTCTCCCAACATCCACCTCTCTTTAACATCTAGAACTTTCCTAGATCTCCTCCCTCTGGCTGAGCTGCCTCTGACAGGACCTCTTTGGTCTCATCTGCCCGTAGGGCCGAACCCCTTGGGTACCTTACCTGATGGTTGTAATCTGGCCCAGGTTGAGTTCGTAGTTGTTGACCTGGGCAATAAAGATGGCGGCCAGGGCCTCGTAGAGGGCAGTGCCGTCCATGTTCACCGTGGCTCCCACAGGCAGCACAAACCTGGTGATGCGGCGATCCACACCCAGGCCCTCTTCCAGGCAGCGGAAGGTGATAGGCAGAGTTGCAGAGCTGGGGGAGAAAGTCCCAGGACTGAGACCAGGAGGTGTCAGGGTGGGGCTAGGGTAGTCCAGTCATGGGGCAAAGAAAGGTTCCCCCTGAGTACACTGAAGGTGTAAACACGGGAGCTAAAGCAAGGGCTTGGGGGAAGAAGCATCACCTTCTGAGACTGAGAACTATGGTGAGGAAGTGGGAAATTTCATGATCAGGTCCACCCAGCAATGGGGTCCCCCAAGCTGGAGGTCTCTTGGCACACTTAAAGCCAATAACTAGAAACTAGTTTCTACTACTGGTTCACCCTGACTTTCTACTCCTTGGAAAGGGACCAAGGGTCTCGTAATTTCTCACCCCTTAGGTCTAAAAGGAACTCCTGGTGTGGCCCTGTGGGTTAATGCGGCACTTGACAACAACAACATGGAAGATCCCTACTTGCCATTCCTGATGTCGTCTCAGGAACAATTCAGCTTCACTAACCCCTTGGCCTCTTTCTCTACCACTTCCCAGAGGAGGTGTTGGTAGTTATGTGCCACCAAGTCGGTTCTGACTCATAGCGACCCTGCAGAGGGTTTCTGAGGCTGTAAATCTTTGTGGAAGCAGAAAGCTTTCTCTATTCCTGGAGTGACTGGTAGATTTGAACTAGTGACCTTATGGTTAGCAGCCCTGCTTATAATCCATCATGCTACCAGGGCTCCTTTTCCAGTGGGGAGGAGGAGTGACTTAATTGATTCATAAGTTTAATCAAGGAGGAGGCATTTCTCTGAGAGCCAGCCTGGCCCTAAGACACACGTTCTGGTAAGCTTCATGTCCTGCAGTGAGATGCCTGGACCCACAGGGCGGGTCTCAGTGCATCCAGCTCTGCAGTAAATAGAGAACGTTGATTCTCAGGTGCAGAAGTAACAATCTGGTTTGGCCACAGATCAAAAGGCAAGTTTTCTAATCAGCATTATAGATAGGATATTTTCCTCCATCGACTTGGTCCTTGTGAGATCTCTGAATTTGGATGGGGAAAGAGATGTCTTTTATTGACCCCCCTAAAGCCTGGTCACACCTGGTGTGGCGCTGTGGGCTAATGCATCAGACTGCAAAATTGTTTGAACTGCAAGTAAAGTGGTTCAAGCACACCAGCCGCTCCTTGCAAACCCTATACAGGGTCGCTATGGGTCGGAATCAACTCAATGGCACTTAATAACAACAACAAAATAGTAAAAACAAGAAAAAAGACAAGGATAATCCAGAGATTTTCTCAAGGGGAAAGGGGAAATTCTGGGCTAGAAATTGAGAATTTGGGGCATTGTGGAGCCTTTGTTCTAAACTCAAACTTTGTACCTGGTTCTCCATATGAAATGGGGAAACAGGAAGAAGAAGAAGCAAGGTCAAGCGAGCCAGCCCAGGAAAAATAGCAGCTACTTGGAGACTTTTAGGAGCTCTTGGCACACTTGCACAACTCTGAAGAGGTGCCTGTGGTAGGGCTAAGGGCAGGATTCCTAGGAGAACTGGTGAAAGAACAGGAGTAACCCAGGGAGGGAGGAAGTGGTGGTAAACAAGATCATACCTGGATGACGTGCCCATGGCAGTGATGAGGGCCTGCAGCAAACCCCCGATGAAGGGGAAGGGATTCCGGTGGGTGATGAGGAAGTAGATGAGGGGGAGGACACCGCCAGCATGGAGGAACAAGCCTACGATGACTGTCAGCGTGTACATGCCCAGCTGACCCCCCAGAACGGCCATATCTTCCATCTCCAAGATCTTCCCAGCAATCAGGAAGAGGATGCCCACAGGTGCATACCTGGACCAAGCCAGATACCTATTAGGGCTCCCTCCTGTAACCACACCCTACAGGAGACTGTGGCAACCCCAATGTTGTGCATTAATTTGCCCATGTGCAGCTCTAGAGCCAGGCAATGCCCCCTATATCAGCCTTCAACTCACCCCAAGCCTTCCCCACACATAACAAATGGGCTGGAATCCACAAATGTATTCCACTGCCTCCTCTTGTCACTGATCGACAGCTCACATCAGACAGTAGGATAGTTCCTACAGCTCCAGATTGATTGTGGTTCTTTCCCTCCTTGACTCTTCCACTCAACCTCCCAACGCCTCCCAAAAAACCACTCTTCAGGATCCCTGGCTAGACATTACCCAGACAGTCACCATCTCTAGCCTTCTAACTTCCTTTGTGGATTGCTACAAACTCTTTGCCCACATTTGCAAACTTTATGTTCTTCTCTTTCCTATACACTCACCATGCTGGAACTGTTTAATCTGGATTTCCCAGACAACCTGCCCTAAATAAGAATCCTTTACTCACTCACTCAACAGATATTTACTGAGCTCCTACTTAGTCCTTGCCCTCATGGAGCTTACATTCTAATAGGAGATATAGTTGGTCTTAGCTGATTCTAAGCTGGTGTTAACTGCTGTGATGATGGTATGAGTGGATGGGTATACTTTACAGTGGATGACCCTCTTGGAAGAGGTGACACTGAAGCTGATACCTGAATGATGGAAAGGACGATGTATACATGGGAAAACATTGCAGACAGATGTGACACGAGATGGATGTGAACTTGGAATGTTGAAGAGCAGAGAAGATCGGTGACGCTGGAGCAGGGCATGAAAGAACGAGAGGCAGACATGAAAGAAGCTAGTTAACTGGGGACTCATCCATGTGTCCACAAACCAGTCTAGTTCTTGTTCTTGTAAGTTTCATTGAGTACCTCCATCTTTTCCCACAACCCAGGCTTCAATTGTTTCTCTTCTCCTTTTAGAAACTGACGTCTAAGCTTGCTCACACTTATGGTGGATAGATTTTGAGAAACTAGTGCTATAGCTTGGTTCAGAAATAATGAGATTCAATCGAAGGTGGTGAGAATGATAATGAGGAAGGTTGCTCCAGTCACATTTGTACTCCCCAAGCTGGGCTCACTCAGGGTTATCCTAGAGGATTGGTGGATGTGTTGAGGAGATGCCTCCAAGTCAACATGCCTAGAACTGCCACTGTGGTCACTCTGTGAATCCGTTTCTCCTCTCCCTTGCCTCCAGCCTTCTACCTCAACCTCTGCAAATTCTCTGATCAATTCTCGATGACTCCTTTCCTGCTATACTTACTCACCTTGTACATCCGGAGGTGTTACCCAACGATGTCGGTGACCATTGTAAATTCATGGTTCTCAATTTCAGTTGGGTCTTCAGTACTTTTTTGTTCCTTTGCTTGCTTATCTTTGGTACCCTCCCTCTCTTATTCCCCTCAGTTGATTTTCTAAGCTCTCACTTTAGCCTCGAGTTGCCTATATAACTTGCAAACTATTTGGGATGATATACAGTTTTGCCCAGTTAGGGACCAGCCGGACTTGTTGGCATCTTTTCCCACCAGTCCCCAACTTATCTTATGCGCCTACCTCCCCAAACACCCCACCGCTCTCCAAACAACTCGTGTTTTTTCAAGATGTGCATGTTTTCTTCCCTCTGCTTGAAGTACCTCTCCTCTCTTATGGTCCTGTTGAATTCTTACTCACCTTTTAATGCCCAACTAAGGGATCATCTTTTCTGTGACTTCCCCTTACCTTCCAGGCACAATTCACGGAATACATCTCTATTCACTGCTCACATCTCCACATTCCCAATGCTTTTTTTTAAAAAAAAAAGTCACTTTACTAGGTTGTTGTTAGGTGCCGTCAAGTACGTACTGACTTTGCAAGCTCTCTGAGGACAAGAACTGAGTTCAATATCTCTATATTTAAGAGCTGAAGACAAAGTTGGTAGGGGAAATGTCTGTCGAATGAGGAAGAAAGTTGGTGTAGGAGTGAAGGAGTTTACAAAGCAAATGATGAATCAATTAAGGAGTAATAAGTGAATGGAAAATGAGTAAGGAAAGGAGCAAATGAAACATGATTGAGTGAGTGGGGAGGGAGTGAATGAATGAACAAGTGAGTGAATGAATTAATGGCTAAAAAGTGGATGGATGAATGAATGAAACATTGAGTGAATGAATGAGAGCTGAGTAAGTGGGTTAATGGATGAGTGGATTCATAAATGAGTCAGTCAGTACTACATCTAATACCTAGGTGAGTTCATGAAAACATTTTTAGTTCATGAATGGATATATATGAATGAGTAAATTAGTCAGTGCATAGAAGGATGAGTAAGTGAGTGAACCAATGCATGGACAGATGAGTATAAATAAATCAATGAATGAGTGATGTCACCAATGTATGTTGTTGTTAAGTGCCATTGAGTCGGTTCTGACCCATAGCGACCCTGTAGAGGGTTTCCAAGGAGCGACTGGTGAGGTTGAACCACCAACCCTGCAATTCAAACTGACTTTGCAGTCTAGTGCATTAACCCCACAGCACCATACCAATACTCCAATGGATAGCAGAAATGAATGAATGAGTGAACCAATGTATTGAAGAATGAGTGGATGAATTATATGACAAATGCAACCACCTGAAAGGATGTAAACAGATGAATGAAGGCATCAGTGAATATAAAATATTGCAGAGAATAAGGAAGTGTATAGATTGAGTCACGGAGTTAACCAACAGACGGCTGAATGACTGTGACCACGTGTGCCAACAACTCCTTGAGCAGCTACTCTGAGTCTTGACGTTCCACCCCTGGATTCCCCCATCCCAGGTGCTATCTCTGCCTATCCCAGCAGTCTGGCACTCACCAGATAATGATGCCCACCAGCCGCATAATAGCCTCATTGAGGCTGTCGAAGAAGTCCCGCAGGACTCGGCCTTTATGCTTCATGCCACCGATGACCAGCCCAAAGGCCACAGAGAAGACCACGAGGCCCAGTGCATTGATGCCATTGGCTGAGCCGGGCACTGGCACGATCTCCTCGAAGCTCAGCACCTGGTGCAGGGTGCCCAGAGCCCTTGTGACATTTTCTAGGAGGCTGGTCCCATTGTCCACTGAGGATGGAGGAGGCATGGAGGCACCTGGCTCAGATCCGTTCTCTGTCCTCACAATGGTCCTGGTTACCACCCTTGTGCTATACTGTGTCTTGAACTGAAATAAAGAGACATTGACCCAAAACTCGGTTCTGTGGAATCACTTCGAGAAATGTCTTTAAAACACCAATTGCTGGTTCCCACACTTCTAGCGGAGTCCTGTTGTGGTGCTGTAAGAAGCATTGGACTTCTAACTGCAAGGTCAGCTGTTCAAACCCACCATCCACTTCTTAGAAACCCTATACAGGGTAACTATGAGTTAGAACCAACTCAATGGCTCTTAACAACAACACACTTCTATAGAGTTGGACTCAATGGGTCTGCAATAGGGCCCCAGAAACTGTATTTTCCACGGCTTCTGGATGATGCCCCGCCAGACTTAGCAGTCTCTCTCTCTCTGAACTCATGTGTGGGTGTCCCACCACAGAAGTCCTGGACCCTTGACCCCAGCCTTGGTGCTTCCTACAGTCCCCTCAGCCTGAGCTCCTTGCTTCAAACCTTCCCTTGATTATCACACCAATGAGAGATAATATCTTTGTCCCAGACTCTTTCAAAAGCCCCTCCCCATAGCTCTGGCAGGTCCTTCTTCCCACCGCCACCCTTGGGCTGGCCATGCAGCAGCAAGCACTCCCCCACCCTCCAAGTCTCCTTGGTTAAACTGCACTGCCCCCTGACCTGTTTGAAGCAGGCCTCCACAAGGTTGGGTGGAAACATATTTCTGCAGAAAAACATCAATGAGGGGAAGTTGTTAGGCCTTGAAAGGGAGTGTGCTACAGTAATAACAACAACATCACTAAGAATGATCATGGCAGCCAACACTTGAAGCTTATTCTAGGCCAGGTACAGAACTAAGTGCTTTAATTACATTACGTGACTTAAACCATCCTAAAGATGAGTCCTGGTGTGGCGCTGTAGGATCAGCACTAGATTGAAAACCTCAAGGTTGGCAATTCAAACCCACCAGCTCCTCCTTAGAAACCCTATATACTCATAGGGTGTCTATGAGTCAGAACCAACAAGACGGCACTTAACAACAACAACAAAGATGAGTCCTGGTATGGCAGACTCGATGGTACTTAACAACAAAAGGTTGTTGTTGTTGTTAGGTGCCATCAAGTCGGTACCTACTCTTAGCGACCTTATGCAGAGCAGAACAAAACACTGCCCAACCCTGGGCCAGCCTCACTATTGTTGCCACGCTTGAGTCCATCGATGCTGCCACTTGGCCAATCTATCTCATTGGAAGGTCTTTTTCTCTGACCCTCCACCTTACCAAACATGATATCCTTCTCCAGTACTGGTCCCTCCTGACAATATGTCCGAAGTATGAGAGACGAAGCTTGGCAATCCTAGCCTCCAAGGAGTACTCTGGTTGCACTTCTTCCAACACAGATCTGTTGGTTCTTTTGGAAGCCCATGGCACTTTCAGTATTCTCCTTCAACACCGTAACTCAAAAGCATCAATTCTTCTATGGTCTTCCTTATTCACTGTCCAGCTTTCCCATGCATAGGAGGTTATTGAAAATACCATGGCTTGGGTCAGGCGCACCTTAGTCCTCAAGCTGACATCTTTGCTTCTCAACACTTTAAAAAGGTCTTGTGCAGCAGATTTGCCTAATGCAATACGTCATTTGATTTCTTAGTTGCTGCTTCTGTGAGTGTTGATAGTTGATCCAAGAAGAATGAAGTCCTTGACAACTTCAATTTTTTCTCCATTGATAAGAATGTTGTTTATTGGTCCAGTGGTGAGTTTTAGTTTTCTTTACATTGAGTTGTAATCCATACCGCAGGCTGTGCTCTTTGATCTTCATCAGTAAATGTTTTAAGTCCTCTTCACTTTCAGCAAGCAAGTTTGTATCATCTGCCTATCGCAGGTTGTTAATGAGTCTTCCTCCAATCCTGATGCCACGTTTTTCTTCATATAACCCAGCTTCTTGGATTATTTGCTCAGCATACAGCATAAATAAGTATGGTGAAAGAACACAACCCTGTCGCACATCTTTCTTAATTTGAAACCATTTGGTGTTCCCATGTTCTGTTCGAACAACTGCCTCTTGGTCCAGGTACAAATTCCTCATGAGCACAATTAAGTGTTCTGGAATACTCATACTTCTCAATGTTGTCCACAGCTTGCCATGATCCATACAATCGAAAGCCTTTGCGTAGTCAATAAAGCACCGGTAGACATCTTTCTGATATTCTCTACTTTCAGCCAGGATCCATCGGACATCAGCAATGATACCCCTCATTTCACAACAAAAGGTAAGCGCTACTAATGTCCCCACCTTACAAAGAAACCAAAGCACAGAGAAATTATGTAATAAAGCCACACAGCTGCAAAGGGGTGGAAATGAACCTCAAATCCAGGACCTCATGTCACATCAGGGAGAACCCCTCAAAAGACTACAGGCAGCTCCTGAACTACCCCAACTCTAGGGACCCCCAAGTCAGGGACTAGGTTGGAAGTACGGCTGGCCTTGAAGCTACCTGGCAAAACCAAACTACTCTAGGTGTATCATTCACCCTTTAGTGGAATTTGGGAACACCAGGCAAACATCACCTGTCCTGTCCCCTTCCCAAGCTCCTGCAGTGACAGTCTCCTCCGTATTAAGGGTCAAAAGACCATATCCAAGGGGTTGGTGTTGTTACAGGATGTGCTCAAGGCTCCAGGGCAGAAAATAGTACCAATAAAATTTGTTAGTTATTACTGAGTCGATTTTGAGTCATGGCAACCCCATTTCTTGAAGAGTAAATCTGACCCATAGGGTTTTCAAGGCTAGGACCTTTTGGAAGCCAATCACTCGGCCTGTCTCTGCTTCAGCCAGCCATTTGTGCTACCTGGGGACTTCCCAATAAAATTAGGTTTAAATAATGAACCAGATGGCAGAAAGTGGTGCCAATTAAACTAAGTATAAAATTAACTAATTAGTTAACTAATTTTTATAAAACTAGGCTCAGCTTGGGTGTTGGTACTTCCACACTGTACCCTTTGTCTCTACGGGTGGTTGCATGCAGTGCTGGAAATTCCAACAAAAATAGAAAGAACATCACCTGACCAGGTCCATGAAGGCATCAGCTGTGGGGACGGGCTCAACCCGCCCCTCGCGGTGCAGCCCCTCCTTGGAGCCCTTCCCAGGATGGATAATGGTGACCATGAGGATGCCAATGAAGACAGCGATGACTGTGGTCACCATGTAGTACACAGCTGCCCTCATCCCCATCCTCCCTGTTGCCTTGTTGTCCAAAGATGCCATGCCTGGAGGACAGAGTGGTATACCTCATCAACCATTTTCCCAACCATCAGCTCCTTCCTCCCTGCACTGCGAGCTAAACACCCTGCCAGCAAGCACCCACTTTTCCTACACCCCACTCAAGTGCCCATCTATGATCCAATCACCAATTCCCATTCCACCATCTTCTTTGCATATCAGCATCCTTCAACCTCCATTGTTTTCCATTTGACCCATCAAACCTCAACCTATTCCATCCGTGGTCTCATCTTTATCCCAACCATACTACCTTCCTTCTATCAAGTTAACCCTATTAACCCCAACCCCATCTTGCATTTACTCCTATTTATCTCAAAGCAAAAGGTCACTGACAAAACAAGAAATAAGAAAAGACCAAAATGGATGTCAGAAGAGACTCTGACACCTGCTCTCAGCATAGAGATGCTAACACAAATGGAAGAAATGAAGAAGTAAAAGAGCTAAATGGAGAATTTCAAAGGGCAGCTTGAGAAGACAAAGTCAAGCATTGTAATGAAATGTGCAAAGATCTGGAGTTAGAAAACCAAAAAGGAAGAACACTGAGCATTTCTCAAGCTGAAAGAACTGAAGAAAAAATTCAAGCGTGTACTTGAAATATTGAAGAATTCTAGGAGAAAAATACTGAATGATGCAGAAAGCATCAAAAGAAGATGGAAGGAATACACAGAGTTACTCTACCAAAAAGAAATGGTCCATGTTCAACCATTTGAACAGTTAGCATCTGATCAAGAACCAATGATACTGAAGGAAGAATTCCAAGCTGCCCTGAAAACGCTGGCAGAAAACAAGGTTCCAGGTATTGGCTGAAAGAAATTGAAATCTTTGAACGAACAGAGGCAGCACTGGAAGAAGTCTCTCTTCTATGCCAAGAAATTTGGAAGACAGCTACCTGGCCAGCCGACTGGATGAGTGCCATTCCAAAGAGAGGTGATCCAATAGAATGTGGAAATCATAAAAAAAATCATAAATATCGCATACAAGTAAAATTTTGCTGAACATAATTCAAATATGGCTGCAACAGTACATCAACAGGAAACTGCCAGAAATTCAAGCCAAATTCAGAAGAGGGTGAGGAATGAGGGACATCATTGCTGTTGTCCGATGGATCTTGGCTGAAAGCAGAGAATACCAGAAAGATGTTTACTTGTGCTTTCAAGACTATGCAAAAGCTTTTGACTATGTGGATCATGACAAGCTATAGACAACATTGTGAAGTCTAAGTATTCCAGAACATTTTGCTTAGATCTATAATCAACACTCATGGAAACAGCAGTCAAGAAATCAAATGATGTATTGCATTAGCTAAATCTACTGGACAAGACCTCTTTAAAGTGTTACAGAACAGAGATTTCAGTTTGAGGACTAAGAGGTGCCTGACCCAAGCCATGGTATTTTTGATAACCTCCTATGCATGTGAAAGTTGACAATGAATAAGGAAGAATTGATGCATGTGAATTATGGTGTTGAAGAAAACCATTAAAAGTACCATGGACTGCCGGAAGAACAAACAAATGTGTGTTGGAAAAAGTATGGTCCGAATTCTCCTTAGAAGTCAGGATGGTGAGACGTCATCTCTCATACTTCGACATGTAAGTAGGATGGACCAGTCCCTGGATAAGGACATCATGCTTGTTAAAGTGGAGAGTCAGTGAAAAAGAGAGAGACTCCAATGAGATGGAATGGCACAGAGGCAACAGCAATGGGTTCAAGCATAACAACTGTGAGGATGGCATAGAACCGAGCAATGTTTTACTCAGCTGTGCGTGGGGCCACTATGAGTCAGGACAGACTCGATGGCACCTAACAGCCACCCTACAATTCCAGGCTTCATCTCACTATCTACTCCAGCACTGCACCTCCATCTAGCCAGCACAGTGGTGTTCACCCAGACGCCCTTTACTAATAATATACGTATCCTTCAGCTGCCGGGAATGGTGGCTGTAAATGACTCATGGTGCCCTGCTTTCCTGAGACTTGCTCTCAGTAAAACAGGAGCTGCCTGCCTCACCTGAAAGGTCTGGGAGGCTATGCCTTCGTCCCAGGGAAGCCTGTAGCCAATGACTGACTCATAGAGATATAAAACACCAGCTGGTGGGGGCACAATTTTTGTGGCTCTGTTTACATTCCAGAGCTCCCCAAGGGATTGGCAGAGAAGTTCCCCTTCTCTGAGGTATTGTTCACACTGCAGTCCTCCCCATGGGATCAAGCTTGGGGGTGCCCCTTCTCTGGGGTGCTGGTTATATGTCAGAGCTTCCATGGAATCAGGCCAAGAGGCTAGCTAGATTCTAATCCTACATCTTAGCTTCTTCCCCTATCCTGCCCTCCTTCCCTCACTTCCTCATGAATTTTTCTTAAAGAGTTCCTCCTCAGTAAATCACTTGTGCAAATACCTGCAATTCAGGCTTTCCTTCTAGGCAATCCAACCTAATTAATCATTCTTTTATGCCTTTATTTTCATCACTGTTCCCAAATCCAAAGATTAGCAAATTATTATCTACAGACCAAATCCAGCTTGCCTCCTGTTTTTGTAAATTAAAGTTTTATTTTAACACAGCCATACTTAGGTCTTTACATATTGGGTATAGCTGCTTTTGTGCCCTAATAGCACAAGTGAGCAGTTGCAAGAGCCTGTATGACCCTTGAAGCTAAAACGTTTACTAGTTGGCCCCTTACAAAACCCATTCAAACTTCCACCACCCGCTCCACCCACCACCCAGTCATCTCAGTCTTACTCAGTTCACCCACATCCCACTCCCAGACCATCCACACCATCTCCCAGCTGCCTTCCCTGACTTTCTTTGACCCTGGATGAAATGGTGTCCTTGCAGGCTGTTATTTTACTTCCAAAAAGGCACAGGGAAATTACTGAGATGAAATGGTGCAGGTCATATGAGGGCTGGGGCCTAAGTGATTGGAGTCTAGGCTTTGGCCAAGGAGTCTGGGCTAGGTGTGAGCTCCATGTTAGAGTCTATGAGCTGGGAAGGAAGACCTAGGCTTGGAACTATGCTGGCTCTTGGTTCACGTCTAAGCTCTGGAATGGGTCTGGAGGTCAACACTGGCCTGGGACTCTCACCTGTGACCAGGCTGGACACAATGAGGGGCAGCACCAACATCTGCAGCATCCTCATGAGCAGCTCTCCAGGGAACGAGAAGTACTTGATCTGGCGGTAGGTGAGCTGGTATGGGCGCAGGGCAAAGGCCAGGCTGACCCCTAGGGTCAAAAAGAGGGGTCACGGAGTGGAGTCTGGAGTCACCTCAGGCACAGACAGGGGTTCATCCATCCCAAGGAGACTGTAGGTGAGTGGAAGTGAGAGGAAGAGAAACAGTCTATGGAGTTGTTGTGTGTACCTTGGTATGTGTGTAACTCTTATACATATGACTGCATGTGTGATCATATTGATATGTGTGTAAATATGGGCATACATTAGGGTGTACATATGGTGCATATGTGACCGTGTATATTCCCTTGTGAGCATGTACACGAACCATTTGTTTACATGTCAGTTCACATGCTTATGAATATCATACATGTTTTCTTGTGTGCCTATAAGAGTAGCTTTGTGTATATGTATGAAGGGGCTTCAAAAAGTGTGTGGAAAAATCCATTATCTTTTTTCTTTTCTTTTACTTTTATCTGCATTTTATTTTTATCTTAATTTACTCCCAAGCCATGTTTCTATTTCTTCACTGTCTTCTGGGATATCTTTTTGTTTTGTGCAACTACCTCTTCTGGTTTAGGAACAATTTGTTCCTTTTCAGTGCGGATCAATTCTCAATGGGACAGGGAGCTCATGTCGTGGTTGACCCGACCATGAGCTCTGTAAGTGCACTGATGCATCTTAGGGGCTTTTTTCGTTTGGTTGTACCCCATGACCAGAGAATCCACATCTAAATCCATTAAATATCAGCATTAGACTCTGCCTTTTAAAGCATTTGCCGCAAAAAAAATTCAGTAGTCTTTTTGGGCCACCAACACTGTGTCCAACCCCACTGTGTTGGCCTGGGCATGCCTTCCAACTCTACCACTGTAATGTTGGAACTCATTGTTTCTGTAAAGTAACACTTTTGGATACTAGATGGCCTTTTGGATATGCATGTCCCTGATTGTTTGGGCAGTTTCATGGTTGTTCTTAACATGGACCTGAAGATCTGAACATCTTGATTTGCATGGTTTTGTGTGGTTTCTCAGGGTCAAGTGGGTAGCAAACTATTTCATGAGATCACCTCAGGCCATTTCTGAAAAGAGCTCCATTATCTTTTTTTTTTAAACATGTTTTATTGTGAATTATGTGATAGTTTACATGGGAGAACATTAGTTTTACGTTCATCCTATTGTATATCGTTTCATTGCCATGGTTACAATTCCCTCCATGCATCATCAACTCCATTATCTTTAAATTCCATTTTTCCACCAAATTACTGGAGACCTCTCATATTATTATTTTCAAACCTAGAGGTGTATATGTGTCCAGACATGTTTAGGTGTGAGTGTGTACTTAAACACATATAGATTAAATTGTGTCGTCCCCGCCCCCACAAAATATGTGTTGGAATCCTAACCAAGTGGCTGTGAACCTGGTTGGAAACAGGGTTTTCTTTGTTATGTTAATTAGGTCATACCCAGGTAGTTCTAAATGTACAACTTCTGAGTTATAGAAAAGGAGCTCTGTTGACACACTCAAGTGCTCCACTGCCAACCAAAAGGCCAGTGGTCCCAACCCACCAGACGCTATACTGGAGAAAGATGAGGTACACTGCTTCCCTAAAAACTGTTGTTGTTCTTAAGTGACGTCAAGTCAGCTCCCACTCATAGCGACCCTGTACAGGGTTTCCGCGGCTGTAAATCTTTACAGGAGCAGAAAGCCTCATCTTTCTCCTGCGGAACAGCTGGTAGTTTTGAACTGCTGACCATGAGATTCACAGCCCAATTCGTAACCACTACGCTATCAGGTCTTCCTTTAGGCATAAGGATATTATCCTATCACAGACAACATTGTACTTCAAGATAGCTCTTGAGATGTTCTTTTTGATGATGAAAACGATACCATTCCTCTTAAATTTGTCATTCACGACTTAAACCATAGGATTATCTAATTCAAAATGGCAATATCAGTTCATTTCAGCTTACTGTCTATTAGTTTTCCTAGATTCATACTTCATACATTCCATGTTCCAATTAGTAATGGATGTTTACAGCTGTTTATCCTCATTTTGAGTTGAGCCCCATCAGCAAACTAAGGTCCCCAAAGCTTTATTCCATTCATGTCATCATAGTAAACTCTTCTTGGAAGCAATAGCTCTTCTCTGGTCATATTCGGAGCGCCTTCCAACCTGAAGGGCTCTTTTTTTTTCTTCAAGTTTACAATTTAATGGTTTTAGTAAGTTTATAGCACAAACATCACTATAACCTATTTTAGACCCGTTCCATCACCTTAGGAAGATTCATCTTGCCATGATGCCTTCAATTTATTCTCCCATCATTAGTCTCAAGAAACCACTGTTCTCTATCTCTAATACTTTTCCTGTCTTGGACATTTCACAGAAAAGAACTTATACAATAAGTAGTAGCTTTTTGAATCTGGATTTTTTTTCTTCGCATAATGTTTTTGAGGCTTCACATAATGTAGTATGTATCAGTAGTTAGTTCCATTTTGCTGTTGCCTAGTATTTCATTGAGTGGATTTACCTCAGTTTCTTATCCATTCCTCAGTTGATAGGCATTAGGAGATTCTACTTCTTGGTGCTATGAACCTTAGTGTACAAGTTTTGTGTAGACTTTCTTGTTAATTGACACTGAATCAGTAAAGTGGTCTGCTTTAGCAGATTTGACTAATGCTGTATATTCTTAGATTTCTTGACTGCTGCTTCTATGAGTGTTGATGGTTGATCTGAGCCAAAGGAAGTCTTTGATAACTCAATCTTTTCTCCAGTTATCATGATGTTATTTATTGGTCTAGTGGTGAAGAGTTTTGTAAGGGCTCTTCTTTTGGCACTGTATCTGATATTGTTCCGCTGCTATTCATAAGTTTTTCAGTGGCTAGACATTCACAAGTCGGCCGCTTCTCCTTCTTTCTAGTCTGTCTTAGTCAGAAAGCTCTGCTGAATCCTGCCCACCATGGGTGACCCTGCTGGTATTTCAAATACTGGTAGCAGAGCTTTGAGCATCACAGCAACACTGAAACTACCAAAGTATGACAGATGTTGTTGTTGTTGTGTGCCGTGGAGTCCGTTCCTACTCATAGCGACCCTGTACAGGGTCTCCAAGGCTGTAAATCTTTACAGGAGCAGAAAGCCTCCTCTTTCTCCCACAGAACAGGTGGTAGTTTCGAACTGATGACCTTGAGGTTAACAGCCCGATTCGTAACAATTACGCTACCAGAGCTCCTATGACAGATGAGTTGTGGTCATAAAGATTATAACCTTGGAAATCATGAGGCAGTTCTACTCTGTCCTTATAGGGTAGCTGTGAGTTAGAACTGACTCAATGGCATGGGTTGTTGTTGTTGTTAAGTGCCGTCGAGTCGGTTCCGACCCATAGCGACCCTGTACAGGGTTTCCGAGGGTGTAAATCCTTACGGGAGTAGAAAGCCTCATCTTTCTCCCGCGGAGCAGCTGGTAGTTTAGAACCGCTGACCTTAAGGTTCGCAGCCCAATTCATAACCACTACGCTACCAGAGCTGCATGGGAGTTATTTAAAAAAATTTTTTAAAAAAGATTGGGCAATATGATACCCACGCACATTGTGGGGGAAGACAGACAGTATGTAAGGATCATCTACAAATCATGGACCCAAGGAATGCATGCTCTGGGCCACCAACAAGGAAGGACTCCACATGGCAGAGACCCTGATTAGTACGTTTAGCTCCAGTCTAATCTCTGATTTCAAAAGCTCCCCACTTGTATTTCTGTTACAATGACACTAGAAAAGTATGACAGTTAGGACAAGAGAAAGACAGGAACATTTATGAGTTCTTGTGTGGTCTTGACATGTGGGTACTTTGTATTCATAAATGATCACATGTGTGACCTATTGATATGTGTGTTCACATTTGTATGTGCACATGGTGTCTATGTGACAGTGTACATTTGTTTCTAAACATACCCATGTGCTTCTATCTGTGGGTCAATACACATATGAGTATATGGGTATTCCATGTATGTACAGGAGCGGCTTGTGTGACTATGTGTTGCTGTCTTCAAACATGGGATGCATGTGTGTCTGAACATATTTATGTGCCAAGTGTGTATTTAGCCTCATAACTATGTGAATGGGCGTGTGCAAAGAAATAAATGTGTATGGTGTATCAATGTGTTCTGAAGGGCTGGCATATGTGTGCACATGTGTATGGAAGTTTATGTGCTGTACCCGCATAATAATGAGCTAGGGTGTATGTATTCACATGTAAAATGTGTGTTTGTATAGTATATACAGAGGTCTGTGTGCATACATATGTATCCAGCATCTGTCACAATTTGTTGTCCTGTGGTGGCTTGTGTGTTATATTGCTGGAAGCTGTGCCACCAGTGTTTCAGGTACCAGCAGGATGACCCGTGGTGGGCAGGTTTCAATGCAGCTTGTACACTAAGACAGGCTAGGAAGAAAGGCCTGGCGATCTACGTCCAAAAACCAATGAAGACCCCATGGATCACAATAGAACATTGTCCAACTAACTTGCATTGGACACATCATCAGGAGCAATCCGTTGCTGGAGGAAGACATCATGATTGGTGAAGGAGAGGACCAGCAAGGGCCAGGGAGACCCCCGGTGAGATGCACTGTCACAACAGTTGCGACATGGGCTGGAAGATGATACAGGACCAGCCTATAGTTCATCGTTGTCCATGAGGCATCATGAGTAGGAGCTGACTCAATCACGTTGTCGTTATTAGCTGCCCTCCAGACGATGCTGGCTCATGGTGACTCATGGTGTGCAGAGGAGGGTTTTCAAGACTGTGCCCTTTTGAAAGCAGGCTGCCAGGTCTACCTTCTGAGATGTGTCTGGGTGGTTCCTTTCCACCCGTATTTGAGCGCTTAACTGTAAACACCGCCCAGGAACTTCTATGCCTATCTCGCACATATGTATAAACAACCCATAGTTGTTTGCTTGAGTCTGTACTGCCTGTGTGAGTGTGCACTTAGACAGGTCAGGGAGTTGTGGCTGGCGGTGTGTTTCTGTGTGAGTATAGAAATGTGCTAGAATAAATGTAGATAAAATTAAATTGGGTGTGAAACAAAGAGATGCAGGTTCGGCAAGGTCCAAAAGTCCCCGCCCCCCAGGGATAGGACCCGCCCCTCTGGGAGCCCACTCACCGATGACCACCGCGCTGACAGTCAAGAGGATGAAGGCATTGCGGCGCAGGAAGCGTAGCACGTGCTCCCGGGTCATAGTCTGCAGGCGCAGGCGGGTGCGGAGTGCTCTCTGTTGTAAGCTCTCCTGCAGTTGCTGCAGGCAGCCCACCCGGCCCAGCCGCTGGCCGCTCTCCCGTAGAAACAAACTGTTGGCGTGGCTGCTCATCGTCTACCTACCAGGAAAGGGAAAGCCAACGGGTCAGACCAGGTGAGGGGAGTGTTCGGAGCGAGGTGAGGGGGGCTTCACAATCAGCACCAATGGAGCAAAGCCTGTGGAAGTAAAAGCTCGCAGGGCCTTCATTTCCTGATGGGGCACAACTCAAAATGAAAAGAAACAGCTGTAAACATCCATTAGTAATCAGAACATGGATGTATGAATTGTGAATCTAGGAAAATTGGAAATTGTCAAAAATGAAATGGAATGCATAAACATCAGTATCTTAGGCATTAGTGAGCTGAAATGGACTGGTATTGGCCATTTTGAATCTGACAACCACATGGTTTACTATGCAGGGAATG